GTTCAGTGCTCCAAAATAATACTTCATCTGAGAAAATAGATGGTCTTCAAAAATGTGCAAATTTGCAAAAGCTTTATCTTTATTGCAGTAAAATTTCCAGGATTGAAAATCTGAAAGCCCTAACAAATTTTAGTCTACTTTGGTTGAAAAATAACTGATGAAGAACATAGAGGTGAGTCTGGTGTCCTTCTTATGATTTCTTCTCTTCTAACTGGTCTAATGTATGGTATTTTAATAGTATGATATATAAATATGTCTAATAAGTGGGTAATTTTTAGAATTATTGAACAACAGAAAGGAAAAATTTTAACTTCAATTTATGAAAATTAAGGGTGAAACATTATTTGGAACTACTCATCTGTCAAGGTTTTCACTAAAAGACCTCTGAGGTTCTTGGAGTCAATAAGATTTCTTTCAGTTTTCTTATAACTGCAGATTTTTTTCTCAATTTCACTATTATGTAAAAGGATTACCATGCAATTTTTTATGGGAGTTTTTTTGTTGTGGTTTTGCTTTGGGGGCTTTGGTGGTTTTTTTAGTGTTTGGAATTTTTCTTATTTTTGTATAACTTGGAGACATTAACTCCTTATCAGGAGGAAGTTTTATCCTGGCTTCTTCTTATGCTATTATATATCAAATTAGCTCCTATGAAGAATTAATTTCCCCCCATGCCAACCTTCAAATTGGAGGGTGGTCCAGAACCAGTGAGAGTCTGCAATTAGCAGTTTGGTACATAAAGGGAGAAGGAGAAATGTCTAAATGCCCATTTCTACCAAAAAACCCATGTAGCTTTCTCAATTCCCTGACTCTCCCCCCCCAACAGGGAGATGGAATTGCTGCAGCTCAGTCCATTTTCCCTTGGGAGAGCACATGAAAAAAAAGGGAGATACTGATGCCAAGACAAAAGCAGTTAGAGCAGAGGGAGGTGCTGATAAGGATGAATGAGACCAAACCACTGTGAACCTTCAAACCCGTAAAAAAAGAGGAGAGAGAAATTGAAGCACGATGACAGGTAAGGAAAGGGAAGGCTGAGAAATGACAACCGACAAGGTACGAGTGTAAAGGCAAGCGAGCGTTTCCAGAAATGATTATTTACTAGCAAGGATGCTACAAACACCAGGGGCATCTCACTGCAAAGAACTGTGGTGTCATTATGGAGAAGAATGACTGACATCAGTGATTTAGTTCTCATGAGATCCCCCAGGCCAAGACATGGGCTGCAGCCAAAAGCTAATGAGCACTCATGACATGAGGCATGATCTGTTAGGTTTCTCCTGCACAACTGTGAAACTAAGGCTAGGGGACTGTTTATTTTCATCACAGTATCATTTACAGAGGCTTTCCAAGCTAATTCCCTTTTGGCAAAATGCATTCTCTCTTTCCATGTCAAAAGAAAGCTATAGTTTGCAGCAGAGGCCAACATTGTTTAGACTCCAGTCAAATTTGTTTTTACATTTGAATGATCTGCCTCTTAGCCTACAGGCTCTTCAGCATTTGCAGTGTTATATTAGATTAAAACTGTATTCTTTAAAACATTCACAGGGCTTACATACTCTGCAGAATTTGCAAGAGGTCAAACTCACTGGGAACTTAGGAAAAATAGGAAGGTGATACCAGTCTGTCATCATTCTCATTACTGCCAAGTACATGGTTTCATCTTTCCCTGATCCTAATAAAACTTTCCTACCAACTTGCATGGTTCAGAGTCATACCCAAAAAACACTGATCACTATAAAGTCTGTGTGAAAACTCCCTAGGGCTTGTCTCTGTTCAGTCCAAAATCCTTTCCATTGATGAAGGACAGAAAATACATATCAGTGGGATTTGTGCATAAATTTATTCTTATTTTTCACTGCCTTTAGTACAAAGGGCTTTTAAATTAAATCTAAATCAAGACTGTTCAGGTGTAAATGTAAATGGAAATAATGACTACATTTCTAAGCAGATACTAGATAATTATTAATTTTTCTTTGTTTATCTTTATCTGTAATAAAAAAAAATCTTCCAAATCTATCCCTTCATTTTGAGTGGAAATCGAAAACAGTTAATAATTATTATTACATTTGTGATTTCATTGTTCGTTATTCTTTAGCATTATCAACAAAGAACTTTCTAGAACACTTATTGTGTTGCAGAGCATCCCCTTTCAGTTTCAGTTCTGCCAGATTCTACTTATTTAAATTTAATACCTCAAGCCTTAGGTAAGAGCTTTGACCAGTGGTCTCTTAAATGGAACTGCATCAAAAAAGAAACCTGAAGAGATACAGTCCAGAACTGTGGACTAGGTAACATACTTAATGTGGTAAACTGGATTTCAATTAGCCACCCAGTAAAGGGGTTTGCAGAGAACCCTCCTACAGAATTCCCCAATTATTACGGTTATTGGTTGGTACCACAAACATTTCTCAAATGTTTTGGATATTAGAAATGTCTTTCTCACCCAGCTCTCAAGCTAATGGGTGAGTTTATGGGGTTTTTTCCTGATTTCCAGCTGATCAGTCTGTGTCTCCTCTTTTAAGAACAATACAAGTAACATAACAAATCAGAGTCAGACTGTAGTTGCCTCAATGCAACCACAGTTATTCCAAGATGAAAAGATCTGTTACTGACTTCCTGTACAGCAGTTTTTAAACATTCCTAGTAGTCTTTAATGTATTCTGAGTGAACTCCTTGCACCTATATCTGTAACTGGAAAATCTTACTGATTACATAAATCGGACCCCTTAAAAGTACTTTGATCCAGAGTCAACAGATTCTTTTGACTGAGTGTGCACAGACCAAGGACTCTTGCTGCAGGATCCTGCCATTATGGTCATATCTTCCTCCTTTAGTTGCCATATGTAGATCAGGTCATCTTGGAAGCAGACATGAGCTTCAGTAACCTCATCTCTCTCAGAAGTGCCTATAGCTACTGCATATATGAATATTTTAAATAATAATCTCATTTAAATAATAATCTCATTGGGGTGTATAGGCAGAGTGCACTAAGTTGTCTTAAGAAGAGTTTTATGGAATTTTTATACTTGAGAGTCAAATCCTTGATAGTTATTCAGAGGTAGTGAGTGGTTTATGCTCTTGCTTTACCTTATCTTAACTGTTTAACAGTTTGATAGATCCTAAAGATTTACCTCTTAAAATAGAATGCAAAAGGAGTTTTGCTTTCACAAAGCAGGGAGTCATTATTATGCCAGCCAGTGATCAAACGTGGAGAGAAGTGATCACTGGCCTCAGGTGTCTGAAGAAAAGCTGCACTTCCATTTTAGCTGTAGCCTCTAACTCTTGTCGCTGAGACCTGCGTTGGAATGAAGTCATGTTGAGGGGTCAGTCCTGCCTGGGTGAAACAATAGCCTGAAGTTGTGTCAGGGGAGGTTTGAGTTGGACATTAGGAAAAGGTTCTTCACCCAGAGCGTGGTTGGATGCTGGAACAGGCTCCCCAGGACAGTGGTCACAGCATCAAGGCTGCCAGAGCTCAAGAAGCGTTTGGACAATGCTCTCAGGCACATGGTGTGACTCTTGGGGATGGTCCTGTGCAGAGCCAGGAGATGGACTTGATGATCCTTGTGGGTCCCTTCCAACTCAGCATATTCTGGGATTCTGTGATTCTATGGTATAATTGATAGGAAAAGGAATGGGATAGAAGCCAGCCTACAACAGAGGAGTACATGCAGTAGCTCAAAGCAGAGCTGTCCCTTTAGCAAAGAAATTCAGCTTTTTCTATTGACAACCAAAAGTTTGAATTTATTAAAATAATTTTCTGTTGTGATGTGGAAGAAACAGGTTTGCAGTGCACAAGGGGGATTCTAGCATAAGAAATCAAGCCATTTTCCATGCAGAACCTGTCCCATCATTTCCTCAATGCATCCATGCTTCAGAAATCACTGTTTTCAATACTGAGTACATGGAGCAGGCAACATGATCAGGGAAGGCCTTTGAACAAGCTGGTCAGCTGCACAGTGGGGATGAGAACTGGGATCAACTGAAGCTCTAACACCACTGACAAGTGAACAGGGCCTCCTCACCGAGTCAGTCTTTCTCAAGGGAGTGACAGGAGCAACCAAACTCGCAAGATGCTGCAATGAAATAATCATTGGAGCACTTGTTTGGACATTTCAGCTCCAGAATGACCAGAGAGAAAAGTAACCTGGTAGCCTCTGGCCTGTGGACACAGTTCACCATGCCCCAAGAAATGGCATGGGCACCAGAGCCAGACCTTGTTTTGCACATATCGAAAGATCAAGAGGGAAGGAAGTCAAGGGAAAGAGTTGCATTTCTTTGAGTCAGACATCAGAGATAGGCCTCCCTGTGATTTGTACCAAACGTGTGGCCTTGTACCAAAGAGGCCCCCACAAGAACAGAGCTCAGCACCAAAGGAAGCCATCCCAACTCACAGGAGGGGATCTCAGGGAGCAAAGCATCCATCAGTCACACCACCCAATTGGATGTTTGACAAGGCTTTGGGGGCTTCTGCCTGCTTTGGAAAGGGGGTCCCCAAGACCCATTGCAGAGAGGTGGGCCTGCATTTTGGGTGCGTGGGGCCTTTGGTTGTGCAGGGGCCATTTTGAGTCCTGAGCCGGGGTGGGGACAAGGGGCGGGGCTGGCCTGGCTGTGATGTGCTGTGGTCCCTGTGACATCACAGGGCTCATGTCACAATGGGGGCAGCTGCAAGCGGCACCGGCAGGTAACGCTGCCCCAGTCCAGCCTGGGCGAGCGACGAGTGCGCACAGGTGGGAAGCTGCACCTGAGCGAGTGGTTCTCACTTGGATTTCAGGAGCGACCTTTCACAGGAGTATCTTGGGTGTGGAACGGTGCTGCTGCAGGGGCAGTGGGACGGGCCTTGCTACTTGCCAACTGCCTGGGCCCTCTCCTTCCTGCCCCAACTTTCCTGCAGCTCCCATCCACCCCTCCCAGCCTGCCCAGTCCTCCCCCCCACCCTCCAAACACCCCCCCCTTCCTTCTCTTTCACTCCCACTTAACCCCTTGTCTCCCTAATCCTGCAGGCCATGGAGGCCTTAATAGTCCTTGTCCTTCTCGTGCAAACCTTCATCCAGTACCCACACGTGGTGGCTGATGGGCTGGATGAGGCCACCCATTTGCGCCTGGAGATGCGGGAGAAGTATCTCAACCAGGAAATGACTCGGCTGCTGCAGGAGCTGGAGCAGAGTAGCCTGGAGCCCGGTGTCAGGGCCTGGGGAGCCCTGCTCTGGGCTACCTTGGAGCAGTGGCACTTCTGGGCTCTTCTTGGAGTCCTGGGCCTTCTCTTGGCACTGGCCTTTAGCCTCAGGAAAAGGAGCCGTGAGCCACATGGCAGTGCACCACAGGAGAATGCCAGCAGCAACTTGGAGGCACAGGAAGATCAAGTTAATGGCCATGCAAATGTGGAAGAAAACAATGCTGCTGGAAGAGAAGAAAGGAAATACGGTGCAAATGGAGACCAAGAGCAAGATCCTGACAGTAAGCTTGGCAGGTTTATAGAGGAGCGCATTCGCTGGCCTGTTCTGGACAGAGGTTGCATGATAACTGACCTGATAGATGATTTGACACGTGCCTTTGGACACCACTTGTCAAGTCGTTTCTACCCAGTGCCACAGCAAGCCATCGGCATGGGCAGTGCCTTTGAAGGTTGGAGTCCCCGCAAGGAGGATGTTGTGTACCGTGTCCTCGTACCCCTCAGTCCTCCCCCGGGGCACACCTTCCACCTGGAGCCGAACACTGCCGCAGGCATGCCAGGAAAGAACTTCTGCATCCGTGTGGAGCAGGTCCACATCCCGGAGGAAAAGCTGAGGAGGAATAAGAAGTCCATCCTCCTCTACAACCTCTGTACTCGTTCCTACCTAGATGTGGAGAAAACTACCCTATGGTTCCGTCTGATGGTGAGAGCAAGTTGGTCGCGTTTGCCTCAGTCCAAGCACTGGCATTTAAGGGTGCTGCCCTCCAGACGCTCCTGTACACTCCGGCTGACCAAAGGCGGAGAAAGCTTCTGCGTTGAGGTGCTGTTTGGGGTGCAGCAAGGAAACTCAGACATCTATGTGAGCAGCCAGTCTAGAGAGGCCCTCTTCACCCCAAGCACAGTGTGGCCGGAGACCTACGGCGTGGCAGAGATGAAGTTCTTCAGCCACATTGCCCGGCAGGCTCCACCTGACAGCTGCCACCTCAGATGCCTGCAGCTCTTGGCCCGTGCTGGGGTGGGCAGAGCCTTTTCCAATTATACCCTCAAGACCATCATGATGCACCTCCTCAACACCATCCCCATGGCCCAGTGGTGCAGGAGGCATTGCCGCCAGCGGCTGCTGGAGAGCTTGGATTACCTGCGCTGCTCCCTGCAGAAGAAACGCCTGGACTGCTTTGTCATAGGCAACCAGAGCATCCCACTGCAGATCGACTTGCCTCCGCACTTCCAAACGCTTCAGCCACCCAACCTTTTCTGGCACCTGGCACAGGATCCAGACGCCCACAGAGAGGCCTGGCAAGACTTCCTTTTCCTCCGCTATCGGCTCAAACAACTGCTCAAGGCCATTGATGGACAAGCCAGCTCTGCTCCGGGGGCTCACATCACATAAATGAAGAGCTCAGATTAGCAGTAGTTAACATCTAAGTAATTAATTGTAGTTAGTCTATTTTCCCCCAGAAAATAGATAAATAATTAATATATAGTTGGGGCACTTGTTCCCAGAAAATCTAGAAGTAGCTATTATGCAATTAGTATATATTTCCCCAAAAAACAGATAAGCAATTAATACATAGTTGGGGCACTTGTTCCCAGAAAGTGTATAAGTACCTATAATGCAAGTAGTATACTTTTCCTCATAAAATAGATAAGTAATTAATACATAGTTCGGGCACTTGTTCCCAGAAAATCTATAAGTAGCTATTATGCAGTAGTATATTTTTGCCCAGAAAATAGATAAGTCACTATTACATAGTTGGGGCACTTGTTCCCACCAAATATATAAGTAGCTCTTATGCAGTTAGTATATTTTTCCCCAGAAAATAGATAAGCAATTAATACATAGATGGGGCAATTGTTCCCACCAAATCTTTAAGTAGGCATTATGTAGTTAGTATATTTATCCCCTCCAGCAGTTTAATTACCTAGGTAGCCTCATCTCCTCGGATAGTAAGATTGAAGGGGAGATAGACAACAGGTTAGCAAAGGTATATAGTGCTTTCAGAAAGCTTCATAAAAGAGTCTGGCGAAACAAACACCTGAAGAAAAGTACCAAGATCAGTGTTTACAGAGCCATAGTGCTGTCTGCTCTCTTAAACAGATCTGAATCATGGGTCATCTACCGCCACCACCTGTGACACCTAGAACGCTTGATCAACGCTGTCTCCATACAATCCTAAACATCCACTGGTCAGATTATGTGACCAATACATCTGTTCTAGAGCAAGCAGCAGTCACTAGCATTGAGGCCATGTTGCTGAGAACTCAGCTGCTTTGGGCAGAGCACGTCTCCAGGATGAAGGACCACCGCCTCCCTAAGAGCCTGCTTGACGGTGAACTTGCCTCCGGCTGCTGCAAGAGAGGGGCCCCGAAGAAAAGATAAAAGGACTCCCTGAAACAACATCTCAGCCTTGGCCACACTGATCATCATAACTGGTCTACTCTGGCCTCCAATCGGGAGACCTGGAGGCACACCATCTATAGCGCTGCTGATGCTTTTGAGAAAGCACGCAGGATCACCCTTGAGGAGAAAAGGCAACGCAGAAAGAATCATGCCCTGCAGATTATACCAGCTAAGGAGTCTTTCTGCTGTGTCTTTTGCAACCACCATGCCTATCTCTTATTAGCCTCCTCAGCCACCAATGCGCTTGCAACAAACGTGGGTAGAGTCCTTCCCAAATCTTCGTTCGCGAAGCCCAGCCATGATGATGATGATATTTATCCCCAGAAAATAGAGAAGTCATTAATGGGTAGTTAGGGGATTTTCCCCCAGGAATCTTCAACCTGATGGCCTGTTATTTCCATCAAACATATTGTTTCAATAAAACTTACTCATTCAAAATCTGCATTGGCATGTTCTTACTGTACTCGACCAGACCTATAGTGCTGAATTGGTTTGAATCAGAAATCGAGCCCAGTTGCACCCAGCCCTACTCATGTCTGAGGACCAGCTGGAACTCCAGGGGCTTTCTTTCCTGCTAAATGTCTATGCCTCAAATGCATCAGACACCCTAGAGCCTCCCCAGGGATCTGGTGCCGCACAAGTGGGCACCCTGGCTACAGAGAACAGGCTGCTCTCTTGGCAGTAGGATTTGCTGCTGCCCCTTCCCTTCACAGCCAAAGCAGACTCTGGGCACTCAGAGCTGATGCAGCTGAAGAGCCCGTGGAGGCTGACTTCAGTGGGGACGCTGTGCAAGAAGAACTTGACATTTGGGACAGTGGTCACATGTGTTATGCTTTCCCCTCCCATCACAGAGCAACCTCTGCAACCAAGGGGAGAAGGTGGCCACTTAGCTCCTAAAAGTAAACACTGTTCTCAGCTGCACTCCTGCATGCAATGTTTGCACATCTGATATTCACCTTTGCCACTTTGGCAAGCATTAGTTGGCTCAAATACTAGTACAACACCAGGGGCTTTGCTGGTGCAAACAGACTCTCAGAAAGAGTGCACACTGATACATATTTTTAAAATCTCAGACCTGACGTAGGATTTAATACCCAGTGGGGTTGTGTTGGTATGTGCAAAAAGCACAGCACCACAGCCAGCTGCTGCAGGGAAATGGAGTGGGGTTATAGCAGAGACAGATCAAGTCCCAGCAGAGGATATCACTGTGCTGCCCAAGGCAAGATGGTGGAGGCTTAGATGAAGGAGGGGACAGCTACTTGCCACCCTACACCCGTGGTTCCACATACACAACTGATACTCTGAGATGACCCTGGGTTACCTGAGGATGCAGATTAGCCAACTATTTGTTTGAAAGGGCAGTTCTCTTGCAGTAGTGTGAGTTACTTGAGATGCAGGCTATCTGCATGAAAATACAGTTCTTTGAGCTCCTCAATTCAGGGCATTGTGATGTGATAGGGAGATACATATTAAAGGGTATTAAATCATGTCTACAGCACTGATTACAAATTCTCATAGTCCTTTGTCAGCATGCATGGTATGCTCCAAACTGTTGCTCAGTCTCTGGGAGAGGATGCTACTTAAGTGATACCTTAATTTTTCCAAGCCTTTGGAAAACTTTCTGAGTAGGTACAGCTTGTAGAAAGTCCATGCCACTTGCAGAGAAGGTCCAGCAGATGTTTGGGCACAGCAGTTACATCCAGCCACTGCCACTCTCCTCACGCAGAACTACAGACACAGGCCAGCTGAGAGTCAAATTCTGACCCTACAAAAACTTGTGGATTAACTTCTGTAGGTCAGGGTTTCACCAGACACATTCCTGCTCAGCTTCATAGCTTTCTTCATTGTTCATTAGAACCATGACAAAAACCACACACCAGGACAGACACATAAATCTGCAAATAGCAAATATATCCTGTATCCCTGAGGTCTACTGTATTTTCCTGTGGTCCCTCAAGCTCCAGGACCTTGGTTGTTACCCAGGGCTGTTGTTCCACATACACATTCTTGATTTACAAAGCTTTTGCAGCTTGTCAGTGAAAATATTACCTTTGATGCAGGGACCTCTAAGAGTACAGAGCTGCATTAGGTTGGGCTAAATAAGCAGATTGAGCCTGCCAGTCTCCAAATTTTCAGGTGAGAACAATGTCCCTTGTAAAAGGCCACCAAATGGTGGCTTGATGCTGGGAGGAATTTGGACCAATCTACATGTGCAGGGCTGGGTGCTGAGCCTCTCCCTGCACATCCATCTGTTATAGCCTGAGATGACACAGTTCTTCAGGCTGGGACTTTCCTTGAAGCTCTGGAAAGCCCAAGGTCATAAAGGGAATTAATTCAAATTGCTTGAAAATAAGCTTGGTTGAAAACAAACAAATGAGGCATCTCTCCTGGAGTCGAATGCTCTTTCTGGAGAGCTCAGCTAGGCTTTAAAGGGTTTTACTTCTTTCAGAGGTCTTGGAGAGGTCTGTGGCTTCTCTGACTTGCAAGTGTAAGCCAGGACGTATTTCAGCCCCTTTAATGATTGAAAGGCATTGAGTCTTCTTACTCCAAAGGAACAGATAAGCAGCTTTCTGAGTACTCAAACTCAGGCTGGTTTTATAAGGGGCATTAGTGCAATAGTCTTTCTGTGCTTAATAATGCGTCTTGTAGCCTAACAGGAATATCAGTGTACACACAGGCTTAGAAGAATAGTCTAATACTGTTATTGTTTGGCATTTGCTTTTCTTTAAATGGTAATACCAAACTGTTGTAAGCTAAGACAGCATATTATAAGCTGAGATGCACAATCTTTGTTGTATGTGAATACACTGTCACACTAAACAGCAACAGCTGAATGGTGTCATTTGGAAAGGAGGAGGTGAGCAAGCACTTTCAATAACTCAGTGCTCAAACACAGATCCCATGGCAGAGCGTATATGGATGAATCAAGGAGGAAAATGGAATTCCAGCCTTTGTGCCGCAATACAGTTCCTGAAATCCTGGTTTTTCACTGACTGTTTTTCACTTGTTGGACTTATGTACACAAATGCTGGAAATTACAGAAATTTTAGAAGAATTCATTTGATCTAGAGCATCCATGACCTGTACACAAATGGCTGGTGAGTGGGCTGAGCACTGCATCAGTTTAATGACCTGGAATGCTGTTGAGTCGCTCCATATCGGATAACAGCTCCATATTGGATGCTGTTTCAAGAGATCTAACATCTTCGGGTGGCACAAAGGGGCAGGCACACTTCCTCGTGATCCAGCTGGCCCAAAACTTGTTAAAGGGAAGGAAATAGTTCCCAACCTGCACAGATGGCTCCTGTTAACTCGCCTGTCTCATCCCAATGGCTCAGCCTGGTGTCACACGGCAGAGCTTGTGCTGCTTTGCTGTCAGAATGAGAAGGGGTGTCAAATGGCCCAAGCTGCTTTTGATTGCTGTCCTGTAGACAAGTACTTAGCTTTTGTTTTGAACAAGGAATAGGATGGATACTTGCAGCTGGAGGAAGGCTGTAGCAGTCAGGCATATTGCACAAGGCACCAGATTACTGCCCTGACAGCCTTGTGGGCTCTTCCCAAGCATTAGAGGCTGTGGGAGTCTTGGCTAGAGGTGGGTCCTGAGCCCCATGAAACATTAAGAGTGGTCCTGCTTAGCTCCATATTCCCCTCCCAGACCTGCCTACTCCCAGGGGCTCAGCAATCTCTTTTTTTCTTGAAAAAAAAACCAAACAAATTTTTATTCCACATAAGAGATCTAAATATGGTACCCGAGGAAAAAAAGATCCTCGTTTTTGTATCATGAGTAAACTCTGTGTTAATTCTACCCTGCTGTGTGCACATTCTGGATGTGCTTTATGAAGTCAGTGAGGCAAAACCAGCCCTGGGAGCTCTTCCCACTTCCCTCAGAGTGACACTCCTCTCTGGGTGCCTGCCCAGCTGCTGTGGAACCCCCTGACCCAATCCAAAAGCTGCTCAGGTTGATTGTTAGGATTGAGGAGGTAACAAGGAGGATCAAGGAGGTCTCAGTTTCTTTATCCCTTATAAGAGGGTTTGCCCTTTAAGATCATATCTTACTTCAGAGCATCCTGGTCAAGTGGAAATCAACACTAGCTAAGTAAATGCTGATCATCCTGCTTAGCAACTTGAATTAAAAAGCTTTGCCAATCAGCCTTGATTGACAGAAAAAGGACAGGGCATTAGGATCAGTCATGAGGCTTTAGAAGGCAAGAACTTCGGTTCAACCTTATAGTTTCCACTTTAATCAAACTCAAACAGACCTGTATCATCAATTGCAGAATACTTACACATCGCTTTTGCCAGTGAGAAAAAACAAATCTACATATTAGAGTCCATGTAGGAGTCAAATCTGTGCTAGAGAGAGCTGTTGCTCTGCTGTGATCAATAAGCCCATTACCCTTCACAGAGTGCCTTGGCTACGAGAGAGCCCCGGGAATCAGATCTGATTATTGTGATGTATTGGTGTGATTTTGCCTGTGCTCCTCTGAGAGGCTGGGATGAGATTGCATGGAAGAGCAATAAAAGGAAATAAAACCAGAAGGTAGCAAACACCCTGAACAAAGACATTAGAGGTAAAAGAAAGCCATTTGGAAAGATGAAGCTGGCAGCACGATCGGGAAGATGCAGCAAATAAGAACATTGGGTACAAAGCTGGTGCCTGCCTTGGCTGTCTCCTGCATGTTGCTCCAGCTGAGAGCTGCCCAGAAGCTGCTTGGTGTGATGCTGCTGCTGCAGATGGGACAGTCTACACCCCCACAAAATCAGCTGGTCAGGGATGCAAAGGGTCGAGGCTGCTTTAGAGGGCCAGCACGAGGCTTTGCAATTTTCATACACACCTGACATTGACCTTACACTGCTCCATTGTTTTGCCCTGGGAGCCGTTGCAAACCCCTCCCTGCTCTTAACAGATATTGCAGAAATACTGGACGAAAGTGTCAGAGGGAGAGGTTGCTCACTTCAGCAAATGGGGGTTTCTGAGGCACTTCCACAACTAAGCACAGGTCTGGGAAACCTGAACCAGGGCCTTATTACCCTCACAGTCAAGAATTTCTTCCTAACAGCCAATCTAACCCTGCCTTCCTTCAGTTTGAAGCCATTCCCCCTCATCCTGTCACTTCAGGCTCTTGTCCAAAGTCCATCTCCAGCTCTCTTGGAGCCCTTTAGGTACTGGAGGGAGCTCCAAAGTCTCCCCAGAGTTGGGTGTGATGGTGCCTTGTGGTTGGGAGATCAACGACAAGACTTCAAGCCTGTCTTGCATTTGGTTTTCATAAGGTCCAAACTAGGAGTATTGCAAATATCAATAAAGTGGCAGATATTATGTGGTCTGATCTTATGTGGATCCAAGCCAGCTTCTAGTAGGCTCCTAGATGCTGCCATTCCCATTACTCGTGATGTCAGAAAACAGGAAAATGATTGAACAAAAATAGCTGGGATAAATAGTTATATTGGACCCACACCTGGAAAAGTTTTCTGGGCCTTTAAAGAGTAGAGATCCAGCAAAGAGCTGGGGGGTTCTTGTTTGTTTGCTTTTTGGAGTGGGAGAGTTGCTTGTAATTCCAGTGTGATCTTAATGACCTCTTTTTCTTGTCATTCTCAATTCTCTCTTAGGAATTCATGAGTCAAATTCATCTAAAATCAATGGCCAGCACAAAGTCTACACACAGAGAATCCTTCCTGAAAGGGCACGTGGAGGATGTCAGTGATGCCACAGACCTAGTGTTGGATGCCAGCATAGCCCTGAAGCTCATGCATCAGAATGAAGCTTGGTGTTATGGATCAATACAGGATCAGTATATCCATGTATTAGGATCACTGCAACCACATTTGTAGTCTGGCATCATCTATCACCTTCAGATTAATAAAAAATAAATCCCAAAAAGACCCCAAACAAACAAACCTTTCTGTAATCATTCATCTCTCTAAACTCGTTATTTACAAAAAAATCAAAATCATGTAAATTTGCCCTTTCTGTTGTCGTTGTTCCAGGCAGAATTTTAAAATATTTCCAAGTGGAAATTAGGAAAAGTTTTAGTTTGGTAGTACAATTCTTGTTAATGTAATTGGAAACAGTGGAAAACATTCCCTTTGATGAAGGTTTATCAAACAATCCATGGTAAACTTTTAAAGGTACTTCAGTTACCTGTTTCTTATGACTCCAAGTTGATAGCTTTTAACAAAACAGATTTATTACAAAGATCTGGAGTATTTTGAAGTATCAGTGCTCTACTTGAAGACAGCTGACAAGAAAGAAAACACTCCCTCTCCTCTCCTCTCCTTCTCTTGGTGGTGTACTGGGCTGAAGTTTTGAGCCCACAGAGACCAATTTTTTTGCTGCCTTTATTTTATTTTACCTATATATGAAGGTCTTGATCTTAAAAAAGGAGGGTAAAAGAATAAGCAAACTATCTTATTGCTTTACAACAACAGCAATGTGATTACTCTAAGTTCCTACACATCTTTACTTGCAAAGAAGCATTAGAAGGCACTTACATAACCTTTGTATGAATAACCTTGATGCTCGGTTGAGGGGAGATTCAAATTTAGACTGGCAGTATTTCAAGGACTGTTTTCTGCTTGAATACTCCAAGCTTGTCCACCTCAGGTAAGCCTTTTCTCTGTGTTCAGGGATGTTTGTTAGAGCTGCAAGTACTCCTGTGCTTACAGTTTGCATTTGAGGTTGTTTATAAATAGAATTCTCTTTACTTCTAATGCCACTTTCTCAAGCCAAGGATCTTTTTGTTCTGGCAAGGAGAAATTAATAAATCACTCCCATAGGGATGAAAGCCAAACCAAAGGTTTTTGGATGAGCAATCTTAGCACAGAATCTTTTCTTTTTGAGAGAGATAGAACAATAGTTTTAATAGTTGTAGTACTGATTTTGGCTGTTATATATTATTCTTTTTTAAGAAAACTTCCCATTGACTGAAAAACTGGGGAACCTACCTCATTTCTAGGATGGTTCTCATTTTAAGGTGATTGATTACCCCATAATCTTTAAGGAATCTTGTAGCACCAGATGGAATATGAGAGTTTATTGTCTTCATAGTCAGACATAGAGAAAATGGCTAAGTATTTTCAAGCTATTTGACTAGTGTACCACAGAGAATAGGTGAGCTCTTCCCCCAGGTTTGTATGGACTGTCTCCTCTTTCTCAAGTCTGACTATAGATACTGTTGTAGGTACTTGCAAACTATGATTGCTTTAGAAGGATTTAAACAGATTTAAAATATGACAGTGCAAAGAGACAAAAGGAACACAGTGAATCGTGTATGATTGGATATTGATATTTGGTGCTTCACTTTGAATGCAGCCCTTGAATAATAAAAGGTAAATTTATTTGTCTCTGCTTGTGAGAGCAAAGTAATAATGAAATGAAACAGGCTAGAGGTACCTCTTGTGATTCTTCTAAATAGGAAACAGAAGAAGATCATGTAGAAAGAACTATATTGTAGAAGATATTTAATGTAGCATTGGTTAACTCTGGACTTACAAGAACAGAAACATTTTGCAAAGCATCAAATAATTTAGGATTGTTAAGAAATTTTACCCAGACAGAGGTGGCTTGAAGCTCCCCAAAGTCCCTGTACTTGGTGTTTCTGTGACTGGCTCTTGGATTCAGAGACAAATCAAATCCCACCCAGACACACCTGCATCTGTGTCTCATTGCATCACAGGAGAGCACGTGCATGTCAGGACAGTCACAAGGTGGATTTGTATCCATGCAGGTAAGTCCCAAGATTTTCTGGGTAAGTCTCAACTTCGAAATTTTCATTACTGCACTTATTTACTTCACTGCCTTACAAGAATCAGTTTGAGACCCGTGACAGAGCCAAGATCTCTGTCGTAAGCACTGGGGAACATCTGCCCTGAGCAACTTGTAGAACTGTGTCCCCAGTGCAGCAATGGTCTTAGGACACCCAGCTGCCAACTTGTAGCTCTGAGACAGAACTGATGAATCCCTTTCTTTGCATCCTTGATATTTGTGATGGTATTTTCACAATTTTAACAGTTAATGCAGTGCTTTCCATCTTTTCAAGTGCATTTACTATAAGTATGTGAAAGTTTATTTTATATGTAAGCCAAGAACCTGAAGGGAGCTAGAAGACCTTTTCAATCTTGCAAGCAAAACCTTTTCTCCCTGAGGGATAGCAGGTGCCCTCTGAGCTCAGAACATTTTAGCTGCCAAGATCAAAACAAATTCCCTGGGATTCAGAGTGTGCCCATTCTGAGATGCAGTGTTTCAGTTAATGGCATAACAGTCTGGAGAATCATTTGAGGGGTTTTCTTTTTGTTTAATTGTGTATTTGTGGTGGTGAGGCCCTGGCATAGGCTGCCTAGAGAAGCTGTGGATGCTCCATCCCTGGAAGTGTTCAAGGTCAGGCTGGATGGGACTTTAACCTGGTCTTGTGGAAGGTGTTCCTGCCCATGGCAGGGTAGTTGGAACTAGATGGTCTTTAAGGTTCCTTCCAACCCAAAACACTCCAGGATGTTATGACTCTTCTATTAGACCCCATTCCAGTTGGTGACAGGAATTTATGTGTCTTTCCTGAGAAGCAACTATCAGGCCCACATTGTTAAGTTGAAACCTCATGGTCTTCCTTTTATTTTAGCAGACAAGTTCAGCAATAATTAAACAGATCATCACACTAACATGCAGATGCTCAAACTGCAGTGTTGTAAATCATCAGAAATATCAACCTTATGAAAAAGAATTTTAACAAGAAAATAAGCCATCAACAGTGTTGTGGTATTTGTATGTGGTTTGGGATCTGCTGTCAACACTTATTGTACTATTCTCTTTCTTCTTATATTATTGCTACCTCCCTGGTTGGGATCTTCAGCAAAGACAAGAATTGTGGCTACAGAGGTGAATAACTTGGTTGGGTTTTGGGGATGTTTTTTTCGTAATACCAAACATAGAGACTACTCTTACTGATTATAAAGAGGCAAGGGGGGGGGGGAAAGTCTTACAAGTGATCTCAAGGTGACTCTGAAAATCAGTATTATGGAATTTGTGTCAATCCTAGTCTGTTGTCCTTAGTAAATGTTGTTCTATGTGCAAACTTTAAATGGTCAGAATGTCTATTCTTGTCTTTTGCCTGCTCTTGTAACAGCATAATGAATACCTGGAGTCTTTCCCTATTTCTTCTGTTTGTAGGTTATTAATAAGAAAAGATGGAATTTCTCTCTTGTGTATGCAACCCTGAATTGCCAGTTAAGGAAAAGCAGCTGCCTCAAATGCTGGTGGATAGTTTCCAGGGTCTGGAAGTACGTGTGTTATGCTGCATCACGGACAGAAGAATGCTGTTGTTTAGTAAAGGATAACACAGAACACTGCAGGCAGAAAATTGCTGCTCCCCTTTTTCTCCTTCCTCTCATCATTTTTCTAGTCATCTTTCTGATGTTTTCTTCCTCTGTTCTCATTATATTTCTTGGTGTTACCTCTTCTTCATTCTTCACATCTTTATGCGATCTGTGGCAAAGGCACGATTAACGCTTTACAGTTTTTCTCATTATCTTCTTGGCCTTTCCTTGCCCTTTCTCTTATTGTTGCAAATTGTCTCTTCACATTCCTTTCTCACCAGTGCCCCCCACTAGAGTTTGTGAGAACTGGTGCAGGACTAGTTGGGAGGTCTCCACAGTAACACCTGCAGCCTCTGCCTTTACTGCCTGTGGAACAGATTTGCTCGGTGGTTTCTTCAGCCATTTATTTTATAATTTTCATTTGCAGTTGTTTGAACACAATGTCATTTTGCTAATATTGTGTTCTTCCTACCAGTGCTACACAGAGCACAGCAGTTCTTGCAGTCTCAGTTCCAGTCATGGAACATTCGAGTCCTGGCTTGCAAGCCTTGTCCTAAACTCTAAGTCACTGCCTCCTTTGTCCTTAATCTTAAATTTAATCTTAGTCTATTTTTCTCTGGTATTTTCAGATGCTTGACCCTAAATGTAGGATCATTCTGGCACAGCAAGTAGGAAAATCAATCAGGACAACTCTTCTCTAGTCCCCATTGCTCTCCTTTTCTTCTTTCCAACCTTTTGCACGTCTGCCTTTCTCTTTTTGCTCCGATATAGGATTTTTGGTTTGCAAGCATGTATTTTCAAATGCAGCATCTATTGTCATGGTTTACTTTATTACTGCTTATATAACACCTCTCCTATAAGGAAATTGGGCTTGTTCAGTCTGGAGAAAAGAAGCCTTAGGGTGACCTAACTGTGGCCTTCCAATACCTGAAGGGAGCCGACAGGAAAGACGGAGAGAGACTATTTGTGAGAGCTTGGAGTGATAGGATGAGGGGAAATGGCTTCAGACTGAAAGAGAGTAGGTTTAGATTAGATATAAGGAAGAAATTCTTGACTATGCCTTGGCACAGGTTGCCCCAGAGAAGCTGTGGATGCTCCATCCCTGGAAGTGTTCAAGGCCAGGCTAGATGGGGCTTTGAGCAACCTGGTCTAGTGGAAGGTGTCCCTGCCCATGGCAGGAAGTTGAAACTGGAAGATCTTTAGGGTTCCTTCCAGTTCAGGCCATTCTATGATTCTCTGATATGCCAGTTTGCAAAGCCCCCCTGAGGTCCTTTATCTGATGTTAAATGCTGTATGAACACACAGAGCTAATAGGATGATTTTCTTGTATGTATCTCTCATTTTGTTGGAATAATGACACCATAAGTTATTTTCTTATTCATTGTTCTTTGCTTCCCCTGCCTGCCACACCTTATCATACTTCATAGTTATGTTTTCATGCTGCTTAAATTTGTTTACATTTTTAAGGGATGGTCTCAGTCAAATAAAGACACCTGGCCCTTGCTTTAATCTTTGCAGTAGTCTGACATAAAAAAACCTTCTCTTCTCTGTAATAGTCTCAGCTTATGTGCATGTCCCAAAACAGAGTTTCTGAAATAGTAAGCTAAGACAGAAGGCAAAACCAGCAGGGGTCCTAAGAAGTTGCTCAAGCATGGTAATTCAAAGTTTGGAGAGGTCTTGTAAAATATGTGCTGTATGGCCTGAATAATTGCTGTTACAGAAAGGACAGTTTGTAGATACTGTAGATGGCCATGAGGTGGCACATGCAGCCTTGAAAGGAGTTCTGAAATATAGCTGAAATCTGTCCCAGTGGCATTTCAGAGTATTAGGAATTTCCACAAAGGGTTTTAGCTGCTGAGAGTAATTCCCAGACAGGAGTTTGAAGAGAGAGAAATAACTAGATATGCCCGATCTTTTCGTGACACCAGTCACTTTTTGAAAAAAAAGTAGGGAAGCTTTTAAGGTAATGAAGTATTTATGACACAAATCCAAACAATACCTGGCCTCACAGGTTCCACTCTTTATGAAATTACTTCCATATTGGATTTCGATTATTTTAAATATTAGCCACCTACAAATAGATCTCATAGTGTAATTTTTTTCCAATTTGTTTCATTAAAAAAACCAATAAAATCAGAATCATAACACATATAAAATACTCCTTTTATTAATATGTATTACATACATATTAGAGCATTCATTTACCAGACCAAGAAGTAGCCTGCCTTTTACTACATTAAGCATCACAATTGTATTATCCTCTCTGCACCCCCATGCTACAATTAAAGGCACTAAGTGTCTTTTCTCCCTCCCTTAGGGAAAGTGATAATTGCAAAAGTGTTCCTTGGCCACAGTTCTCCAGCTTGTGCAATGAATCCCATCTATCAAGTCAACTACCCAGGAGCTAATTCAGTGTTCAGGTCATGGAAATGCCAAGAAAGTGATGCATCTACTTCTGGCACTGGTGTGTATTTGTAGGCACTTGTCAGCATAAAGTTAAGGCTGAATTAACAGTTGTATTCTAAATTCATCTTTGACTATGGGTTGTGTCAGAAGTTTCATTCCTCGGGACACAGTCTCTGCTCAGCTAAAGTGCATTTTTTTCAAGACAGTAACAAATAAGAAGATTCTTCTCTGAATATTCTCTTAAAGATTCGTGCTTGTTTTGTTGACAGGGAGAACATGAGCAGTGCCACGCTGCTATTTAGGCAGGAGTCCACACTAAAAACAGCTCACTTCATGCAGGTTCACACCTCCTCTTCACACAGCGGGACTGAGTGTTGCAAAGGACAATATACACATACCACAGGGGAAATCTTCACCCCTAAACCCCACAGACTCTTTCTTTAAGCAAATAAAATCAAGAAATAGAGTTGTAACCAACCAGATTAAATCACCGTATCATGTGTATCCTCTGAGCAATAGATTCTGCTTTACCCCATTTTTTGCAAGAGAACAGAGTGGGATTTGAGTAATAATTTTACCTGTTCACTCTGATATACCGTCTAAACTCTGAAATGCTAACAGGTAACAACATCTGTCTCTTTATAAAGGAACTGGGATTGTTTCTGGTTTCTTAGAAGGATGGAAATAAAAGGTAATTTGTAAGGTGATGGCACCATAAGACAGAGTAGTTTTGGACAGTGCAGGAAGGGAAGCACTGCTGGAGAGCTGTCCATGCTTTCAGGATCTAAGATAGGCTTTGACAGGCTGAGATCTTCATGCTGGAATCTGACAGTTGTTTATTCTGCACAGGGTATTACACAGTCAAGGCAAACTCCTTCATTAGCCTGTGTGAATCTGTATGTCAAAGAAGTCTAGTGGTAGAACAGGATTAAACTGATAGATCTTCATGGAAGAAGATACCTTTGACTCATTCTGAAATTACTGTCAAATTTAGCTAAAAAAAGCAATATATTTACCCTGTTTTGTCCACAGAAATGTGGGCTTCCTTGGAATGGAGGAATTGTGACTGCAGCCCCTGGCATTGTGACAGGTTTGTGTTTGACCAAGAACTGGTCCTGACAGAATACATTGCTGGATTTGAGTGTGTTACTCTGCTACTTGCTACACTTTGATTATGAGGCAATTAAACCCAGTTTCTACCAGATTGGTGTTATAGAAAGATGTTTTTCTGACTTGATTGCTATTCATTTCCTAATCGAATATCTCTCATTTTACCCTCAGGATTAAATTCATTATTTATTTAAAAATTAGAAAGTTTACAAATTTCAAATTCCTTTTATTTTATATAGCTCAAAAAACAGTGTCTGTTTTCTATGTGCAATATAATAGTGAAAGAGGGAAAGAGAAACACAGAAAGATATATTCTGTCTCATGATTTGTAACGTGATGGTGTTTTGAACATGGAACTGACAGTAAAGGTCAGGCCTCAGACTGCTTCAATGAAAAAAGCCCACAATATTTGCAGTGTTTAAGGCCAATATTTATTCAGGTACAAGTGAGATAGTTATGCCAAATTTTCAGTAAAATGAATGTATTATGTAATTGTTACTTTGTTATTCAGTTTGGCTCATGACCTAAACCAAACACAAAAGTTAAAAATAAAAGTTTCCACTTGGGCTTGATTCTGATGCTACTTACATTTATTTAACACCACTAGATCTGGTGTTCCTCAGCCTATCAGTTATTATGCAATGTGAATTATAATTATTGGGATGAAGCCTAGGGGAAAAAAAATCAGCAATTTTAGGGGCAATGTTAAGAAAGAGGAGAAAGAGGAGGATAACATTTCTCCTCCTATTTTACCAAAGTTCCATCTTTTCAGTGATCTCTGTTTACACTGAGATACTAACAATTCTTCCCTCTCTTTTCCTTTTCCTAAGGATCTGTTCCCTGTCTTTGCTCAGCTCCACTCTTCCTTTGTTGCTCTTTCATAATGGAAGAATTGCCAGTTTCTTAGTGCCAGCAGCATCTGTTCCCTCCTCTCTGACTCCCCATCACTTTTATTTCAGGGAGAAGTTAGAGAACGAATAGTTTTAAATAACTGAAAAAGAGTCATCATAGCCTATATTGTCTTTTCATTATTTCATGTTAGTTTTTATTCATATTTTATGGTATTTTTATGGTTTAGCAGTAGGATTGTATTTGTATTGGCACACCATCAATTGAAGCTTTCTCATTTTAAGGGCAGCCATGGAGTATTATAGAATTTGGCTACAGGTCTGGTAAAATTGTTGTTTCTGATCTACGTTTGGCCTAGGTTTTGAGTTTGAATGGGAACAGCCTGAGCATGCTACAGGACAGCTCTAGATTTAAAAACACTTCTAAAGCCTATCATCAGCTTTCTTGAATTTGCTTCATTAAATAACATTTATGTCCTGCTAAGAAATTAAGCTCTAATCCTTTTTTTATAAGGAAGATTTAATAACATAAATATTCTTTGTACTCACAAGACAGGATTGTGCTGGGATGCAGAGAGGAACAGAATACAGGGCTAAACTTGGATCATAAATACAGTGATATCATTAGCAGCCCACAGTTCTGGTGCCTGTTGATATTATCTCCAATTTGAATCACAATGCTACAGTGGTATCACTTTATCACCCATTTGACCTGTAGGATGGTTGTTTCATATGAACAAATAGAGAAATAATTCTGGAGCACACTCCCTCAATGAGTCCAATACTGAACAAGGGGAGTGCCAGGCTCTGGATCCAATTAGGTCTATTTAAAGATTAAATGTGTCTGATTACTTTAATCAGATATTTTGATGTGAATCATAACCATGTGATCACTTTTGAGGGCATAAAAAGCTTAAATAAAGTGCAGTTCTTCAACCTGAGAGGGAATCAGCTGAAGAAGTCCAGAGAAGACATAAATACTTTACAAAAACACACTCCCAACACACTCAGTCCTGACATCACACACAACCCATGGCATAAGGTATGTGTCAGCCCTTGAAATTCCTGGGAAAGCATTCTAACAGTTATACAGGCCTAAAATCTGGTCCTCCATCCTAATATTTCTAAGGCCCCTTGCAGTGTAAGAGGCCCTATGGTCACGTTATGGCATCTTTGTTCTCACAAAGGGCCTTCACTTCTTTTTATGATCCCAATCCAACCAAATGAATAAACCCGGCGGCATTTTTGGCCTCAGGCACCTCTGAGGCATAATTCCTTACTTTTTGCTTCCCTTAGGAATTAAATACATGGTGGTCTGTGCTGGATATCAAAACCAAGCCCCGACTTTAATTTTGCTGTCTCGGCTGCCCTGAAGAAGGGGTGGGAGCAGAAGCATTCCCAGCCCTGGGAGGTGCCCACACACCATCAGTCCCTGTTCCTGCCTGGATCTGCCTTCAGCAGCACAGCTGTGCTGCCTGGAGCTTCCACGACACAGCCAATACTCAGCCCTTTTATTGACTCTCATTCATTCCTGTTGCCCAAACAGCTTCTGGAACAAATGCTTCTCTCCGTGCTCTATCCCCGTTGAATTGGTACATTTTAACATTATATAAATGGCTCAGTCAGAATCAGCAGATTTAAACATTAAAAATTTGAGGCATCGAGAGACTCTTTAAAAAGTGGGGGGTTTTAATGATCATTTAACACTAAATTTAATATTTTGTACAAGTCAAAGCCAGGCCAACACAATACTATCGGAATAGAATAACTCTCAAAGAATTTAAGTAATAAGCTAACACAGGAAACAGAACTCCATTTGGGGCACCCAGGAAGCATCTAAAAAGATGCTGTCTTGTCTATGTGGCTTGTCAATTAAACTTCAATGAACCTCCACATTAGATATAGATATAGATACCTAGATATAGAACCTAGATATGGATATAAAAATAAATAATAAGAGAATATATATAGAAGAGAGAGAGACATTGGGAGATATTGAGAGAGACAGAGAGAGACAGTATATATCTCGAATATATAAAAGAAATAAAAAGAGCCAGCAGTTCCAGTCTCTGGTTCTTTGTTGTTATTGCTTAGGTGTTTATCAGATTAAACTTTTAATTTTACTGTGTTCTTTGTATGGCAACAGATCCTGAGTATTGCACATCACTAACCTCAGAAGTGATTGGGGGGTTGGAACTAAATGATCTTTAAGGTCCCTTCCAACCCAAACCACTCAATGATTCTATGATTGCATTTGGCTTGTTTGGTTGTCAAAATTCCATTCACAAACAGAGACATTTTTAGTCCTTATGTGAGGAGTGTATATTTCATATATTATACACTAAACTAGTGGGCAGTCCAACATATTCTGTGTGTATAGGGTAGGCCTGTGGTGATTTCTTGAAGTTTCAGTCTCACCTCTAAATCCTTTAAACATTTCTCAAGTGCTCTATGATGCTTTCTATGGTTTGTTTTGCCATTTGTTTGTTTGTTTGTTTCTGTGAGTGGTGTTTGATTTTGGGGTTTCTTTGTTAATATTTCTAGGTCAAAAATGAAACTCCTGGATTTTAAAAACAAATATTTATACATCAGTGAGCTTTGTAACATTAATAAACTTATGAGTTAGCCCATGTGACTCCAGGGCACTTTATTACCATCAATGTCACATAAAATCCAGACAATCAAGAGGGACCCAAAGGTTCCTTTGTCTCACGCGTTTCAGGCAAACAGCTCAGGAGGGGATGACACAGTGACTCTGTCAAAGATCATAGCAAAGCTCTAGTTCTTGACATCCACAAGGTGACAGCACACCAAACAGAAAGGAAATGCAAGTCTCTTTCTTGTATGTAAATTATGTTGGCAATTAAAAAAAAAAATCATTCTTCAAGCCAGCCTCCTTCCAGCTGAGTGTCACCAGCCAGTGAAAGGCTCTCACTGACTCAAATGGAGTCCTGATTTCTAATGAAGTTGCAGAAGCATCACAATATATTGCAGGATCAAAGATGAATGAGGGTTGTTATTGTTTTTTGTAACTTATCCCAAGTGCTATGGAAAAGGAAAGCTTCAGGAATAATTTTGCAGCCGTTTTTTATAAAGAACATTTTGTTTTCTGTTTTTTGTGAAGACAGAAGTTTTGTCCTTGCCTCTGGCAGAAGCTCAGAAATTATATAATAAACACCGATCTTAAAAAGATCTTTGCTGGTACCAAAAATTATATTCTAGCGTGATCTTGAAAACAGTTTAGTTCAAGTTCTTGCTGAATTCAGAATGCAAGAAAATAACTATGTTGTCGAATAGAAAAAAAATGGGGAGGAAAATCATAGAATCATGGAAAGGTTTGGGTTGGAAGGAACACTAAAGATCATCTCATTCCACACCCCTGCCATAGGCAGGGACACCTTCCACTAGACCAGGTTGCTCAAAGCCCCATCCAGCCTGGCCTTGAACACTTCCAGGGATGGGGCAGCCACAGCTTCTCTGGGCAACCTGTGCCAGGGCAGAATTTCCTCCTAATATCTAATCTAAACGTATTCTCTTTCAAAGACATTTATCCTCAATACAATTGTAACTTCAATTTGTTCATAATCTACAACCTCCCAAGCTTACTACCACTTGTACAAAATGAACTGGAAGTTCTTCAACTGGTTCATTAATATCCTGAACTGAAAAATGCATGCTTTAAAAATGCTATCATGAGTAGTTCTGGTCTTAGATTCTTTTTACTTATTAATGAAATACAAAGTGTTTTCTTATCCATGTAAATTTTAAGCATCTCGTCATGGTTCTTCCCAAAGGCAGAGAAAAACATGCAAACTCTCTTTCCCTTCTGTGTTTTGACTGACCATTTTAAAATCCTTAGACAGGATCAACCCTATTGCATTGCTTGAATTTCCTTAGGTCCTGACTGCGATCTGTATAAGCCATCAAATTTCCGTTGACATTTTTAGCTTTCAGTTTCAGAAATCTGTGTTTCTAACAACTGTTTAATTGTCAACGCTATCTTTTTTCCTATTTTTCATTTGCTTCTTCTGTAGTGGAATAAAAGGGCTGCGGAGTAACACTCACAAATACTTGCTTTAATCTGTAAACTTAAAGGGGTGAAAATGTTTTTTAGTGTAAATGAAACATTGTGTATCGACAAAGCATTTAGTGTTTAACTTTCTGTGTCTTTAAACATCTCCTAAATAGCCTTCCCATTTTTTGGATCAAGTTTTTGTGTCGCTCATTTTGCTCATGCCTACTTTCAACACACGAAAAATTTCCTTTTTAAGACACCAAGGCTGTGCAATGCACTTGCTTATGAAATAGACCTACTTGTTCTTTTAAAGGCAAGACCAAGTCCTAAATCTACTTGCTTCATTTAAGGATTCCAGGGATTCTAAATGTTCTGGAAGTGTTTCAAAGGAGAGTGTCAGTGAAGCTTCAAGAATATTGAGCAATTTTTTAAAGACCTTTGGTGGCAAAGGTAGTGACAGAACCAAAGTGACCCAGGAAATTGCAGCCAGCTACTTTGCATTCTCCCTGTGATCAGCAGAGATTGGCCCTGTGAATTTTTCATTAGAAAATTCAGTAGCTATGCTTACTTTATTTACTCTGCCAATTCAGAACGTGACATTTTTCCAGATGTCACAAAAGTATAATGTTGAAACATGTTGAAACATTAATTCTTCCAGTAAATTTATAAACATAAATTCAGCGCCAGAGTTTTCTAACACCGACCCTTCAAATATACCCTGCCCTAAAATTTCGAGGCTTAGGCATATTGCATGTCTAAAGCCAAATGAGCTTTGTGCATATTAAACTCTCTACACTAATCCATTTCTTGTGATCAGGCAGGATTAAAATTTCACAGAGTTCTACTAAATACCCATATGAAAAACAGATTGCAAGAAGAGAGCCAGTAGGTCTGATTTCAAGCCACCAAACTTTGAGTACAACCCTTTGAGCGTTATCTCTCACCTTGAAAGACCACCTAAAATTATGAAGTAATTAAGTAGTCAGTGATGAGCAGCAGGACTGAGGGAAATTGGTTTGTCTTAGGGAAGAGCCTTGTCTTTGGGTTATGCAGTGCTTAATTAGGTGTGAACTCCCAGAGTTTCTCGGATCAATCAGGACAGGTCTCTTCTGGATCCTCAAGTGTCGGGCGTTGTAGCTGAGCCAATATTGCAGCTGTTCCTTCACTGGGATCATCGGTTTAAAACTCTAATTCAGCTGCTCACTTTCATAGAATTTGTGTGAAGTCAGGGAGTGCTGGTCTGAAAAACTGGGCCAAAACTCAGCAATAGGTTTAAAAATCAGTGGTAAGGCTAGCAGAGGGATATAGAGACAGCACAATCCCATTAGCCTTGTTTCCTTAGGAAAGGGACCGAGCAAAAGGCCACAAGACTCAGTGGAGGAAGATCCAAGGTCATCCTAACCTGTTCTGATCCATCAGCTGAAATCATGTTAATCTGCCCAGTATGAAAGGTTAAAAGCTCCTCTGTCAGTTCAATTTGTTATTGGAATACAGAATAGCTAGAGGAAAACACGTTTCTGCTGATAACTGTAGCATTTCATTCTGTGTGCATTAGGGAATTCATGTTTAGAAAAATTGCCAGGAAAATTAATGCTTTAGCATATGTCATAAATGTTTTGTGACATCAGAGAGAAGGGATTCATAAAGGGTACAATAAACACTTGAGGAAAATAAAATAATACAGCCAGAAAATGCTCTTCAGTTATCACCAAAGCCAACCTAATGGTACTGATTATTTAAGTGATTTCTGTAGAGACAGCCTAGATACAATACTGGATTTGGGTCCCTACAATACAATTTTAATGTTTTGATTGGGACCCTGATCTTTTCTCAGCTCTACAATGATTGCTAACACACCACAGTATTATGGAAAATGGAGAGTCGTGGTCATACAGATTATAGACAGGATCCCAGACAGCCCTTGTGGGAAGCAAGTCAGAGCCTTTCTAAGAAACACATTTCACAGCAAGGACAGCAAAATATATGTTTGGTATTGACATTTATTTGTTTCTGCTCATATTTGTCTTTTTTTGCTTAATTCAGAGCTCTAGATCTGGTATTAGCAGACCAGTTTAGAGATGTCTGCAGCATGAATTTACAGAACAACAATCTCCTGTCTTTCAGTGATTTAATCTTCTTCCTAATGCCAAGGGGGGTTTGTGACACAGTCTTCTATTTTTTTTTTTGTAATAATACTAATGATAAACTAATTTTCTTTGATGGAAAATGGTCTTTAATCTCCCTTAATACCCTGTTGTTTGTGGGTTTTTGTAACAGGAGCAATCAATCAGCACCAAGCTGATTGCAGCCACGGTTTCCATTTTACGGTAGTGTTGCAGTAATCTGATCCAAAATCAGTGAATTGCACCAAACTTTTTTTAACCTGCCCAATCATCTGTCTAAAGATCAAACTCCCGAATCAGAGAAATGCAATTGGCAGCTTTGCTAATGTGTTAGCAGAGGAACACTCTGTTTGATTAATCGCGTTTCCTCTTTACATGTATTATGGCTGAGCTACAGTCAGATTGAATCAATACTGCCTGGACAAAAGCTCCCAAACCAGGGAACAAAGAGGCAGCAGCTGTACTGAGAGGTGGCCTTGTGGCTACAGACAGCAAGGGTGTGCCAAAGGAAGCTTTTAAAACATACTTTTATTTCTCCTGTACTCCACTGAGTAGGAAGGAGGTGCCTTCAGTGTCAGCAGCTTTGGATCTCCCTTTTTTACCTCCTCCCAGCTGAAGAAACCCAGTACATTGGTGTTCCTGTTTGTTTGTTTGTTTGTTTGTTTTGCACACATGTGGTACGCTCTGCATCATCTTGTTGGCTTTTCTTAGCTGAGTTCTTTGTGAGCAACTTGTTAGGCCACTTCTTCATCAAAGCAACTATGCCAGGCTGCTGCCATCTGCTCTTTGGACCTTATTGGTGGTCAGGCTACACGGAAATGTTTTCACCTTCCTACAAAGAATTTAATTCTGAGCAAGGGAACCGCCTGCCTCTCTCTGCTGGTTTGATCTGGGAGAGTGTGTACATGTATCTCTGATCAGCTTGATCATTGATATTCTGTTTTCATTCTTAAATTTGTACAACGTTACACAACAAAATTTTAGGAATATATTCAGACAGTGGGAAATATACTGAGATGGTATTTCAGTCCCTTGAGCCTGACCTGTGAAAATTCAGCTGTCTTACACTGTATAATGTTCTGATGGCAGTCACAACCCCTTGTTAGAATCATTGAGTTCAGTCGGTTCAGATTACTGCACCTTTTATGAGCATTAAGAAGGCTTTTCTATATTCATCCAGAGTTCTTCTGCAGCGCTGTGTGTAGTCTGAGCAATCACTCATCCTGCCATTAAACCTCCTTTCCTTTGCTCATTTCATAAGTGATATTCTTTTCATCATCCTCTGAAGAAGACAGTTGTACTCCTTTCTTCTTCTTTTTGCCATCAACATTAGATCAGCCTGTGTCCTAAAAAGCATTTTCAAATCACCTTTCAGTCTGCATTTCTCATCTGTGCACTTTTTCAGGACTGAAACTTCTGGGACCTGTCAGGACTCATTTAATCATTTCTGCATATATAAGGCAACATCCATTGTCAAATTCAGTTTTATCTTCTCAGACAAGTCTTGCAAAGTCACCACGCAAGAATTCCCTCTATATATTGAATTCCCTCTATACATTGGTCAAGTTTTGTAGAAACAACAGAGACAGAGCATGAGAGAATCCCTCAGAACCTTGTTAGCATGTGCATCCTTCTCCAGACTTCACCCACCTCTTCTTGCCTTCATTCTTTGCACATGTTCAGCACCTGGAGCATGGGAAAAACATGAATTTGTTTTCAGATTTTCAGGGGGAAAGGGACACTGGCAGAGGAACACATAGAAAAGGGATGTCCGTGAATTCATCATAATATCATAAATTTCTGTGCTCATTTTGCTTATCTGCTTCCTCATGGGACATGAACATCCTTTGCACAGACTGGGGGCTCAGAAATTACTTGAGTAGGAATGCCTCTCTTGATCATGGGAGGGTTTTTTTTTACTCCAATGCCTTCCAGCTTCGTCTCCTTTTCTTTTTTAAATAATGAGAAATTCTACCTTTCCTGAATGCCCCTGAAACTTGGTTGATGATCCCAAATATTAGTGTAAGTCAACATAAATATTCCATCATGTTTCTCAGACTGCTATTTTGAATATGACCTACTCAGACTCACTGATTAGAACATGTCACATTCTTGCTCAGTAGCTGCTACTTAACAACCTAAAAGTCAACACTGAAATGGAAATTATTATTACTGTGTGATATGAATAAGACTGGTTTTTTTTACTCCCAAAATGCAGCACAAAAGTATTTAGCAAACAATTATGCTTCATTTCAGGTTTATTGGTACTTCTACCATCTTCAGTTAGTAATGATGCAGTAACATCATCAAGATTGCTTCTGTCATTTATATACTTTCAAACTGTTTCTCACTGTCCCCTTTTCTGCATTGGCTCTTTTCATCAGTTTTTGGAAGCTTTTACTTCTTATTGTCCATTCTTTTTGCTCACTTCTTTATTTTTCAATTTCCTACCAAGTGGGTACTGTCTTCTTAACGACTGTTGACTTCTTCCTCAGTTGTGAGATATTCTAGGAACAAAAATGTTCTTAAGCACACTCCAGATCCTCTTGACACTGTCTCCAGAAATTGAATTAATTCTTAATTTTTGCAGCTTTGTGAGATAAGCCTGCGTAAAGCATGAAGTATGCATAGCACATATTCACACATCTTAACACAAATTAATATTGCATATTAACATACAGTTTGGATATTGTTTTGTTTGCAATGTATGAATGTAATCAATTCTTGTCCACTACCTGCTCAGCAGTCACCAATATTTAAGGGTTTTGTGGAAACTGAGGTTGCCAAGGCCATTGTTTCATTAGCTGGGATGTAAGGAAGAAGGAAAGTTAAAATGAGGGCTCTTGTTTTTCCTTCTCTTTATTATTAATCTATCCACCCATGCTACCTAATTACAGGTCAGGCATAACAGAAAGGAAGTTTTGACAAGCAGATTAAGGGAAGAATGCACGTGGATTTGTTCTGCCCTATTGTCATTCAAGTGTTGTGAGAACACACACAAAGGTCACCTTATCGGTCCCTTCCAACCCAAACTATTCCATGAGTCCATGATAAGTATTTTACTAAATTAAACAGCAGTTTAAAGACGTTTTCTCTTCATGTCCTCTGACTTCTGTGAGCAGAGGAGTGGGTTTATTTATTTGCTTGGTTTTCATTGTCTGGATCCCAAAAATTCAACCCAGTTTCAACAGAGTGGAAGGGTATATATGTAGCATTTCCACCTCCAAGTAATAGATTTGTTTCATTTTTCAACACATTTCTTTTATCATATACAGGTTTAATTCCTGTGAAACCTGCTCCAGTGATTGGTGATGTTGCAGTCATCCCTATGTACTCTTCATAATTAAATATATAAGAAATACCTATGATAATGACTGATCTAGGTTTTGTTTCTCAAGATGTCCACATTTTATTTAGGAAGATTTTTTGCTTTAAATAGATATGATAGATACATAGATAGATAGATAGATTAAATCAAACACACTGTCTCACAGTGTCTTCCACTGTCACTGAAGTGGTCCAAAGCAACCACATGGAAGGTGGCACTTAGTTGCCAGGTGAGGTTAAACCATAACAATATGTCATGTGGAACAGAAGGAGCAGAAGTACCCATATTTTCACAGGGTATTTTTGTCAGATATTTTTTTATACAAGTTTCAGAGGAACCTAATTCTCTTACCTCTTAATGTTACTACATAATACAGGTTTCCAGCAGTGCTGTGTCAATGTTTGAAACTGTAATTTCAAGGTGCAATGCTGTTAAAACTTCTTCTGTTAAAACCCAGCTATGATTAAATGGGTCTCCAATTTATCTTCTTTACAATAGTCACCTACATAATTATTTTCAGCTGTAATTTGATAATGCAAGAACATATTGTCTTGTCTATCTAAAGATACTAAAGATACTCTCTCATCCCATCTGTACCCACTGGAAATACTTTCAACAGGTAACAGTCTTCATTTATTGCTTTTGTTGCTGGTTTGTGTTAGCTCTCACTGTCCTTCCTCATCAAAGTACTTATGGTTCAGTCCTGCCTATCCCCATCCTTCTTGCTGAGAGGTCATGTCTTACCTATGTCTTGAGATGCAATTGTGTACCTTGAGCTACTGGTCATCAACATCCTTTTTGCCATATTTCTACCTTTGCCACTCCTGTTGAGAAGGGCCCCCCCTGGACAAGCTACCTTGTTGTTCTGCTCCAGACCTTGCCCTGAAATCCTCACTGACAGTGAAACCAAAAGAAAGCCTCCCAACAGTTGGGCATCTGCTGTGATCACTGTCTGTCACACTGACCAATTTCATTGCTCATTTTCTTGTGCTCACCCATCTGTCAGTCTGTCTGCGTTCATTGGGTGCCTCTCATCTCATTTTACAGTACAAATTCACTGCAACGGAGATTTTTAGTAGGATTCACTGTTAGGTTTCCTAAACACAAGAATAACAACAACAGCAAGGAGTCAGAGAGGAGGCCAGCCCAGCACGTGTCTCCTGTGAACAGAAGGGTCATTGTCTCTGTAGCCCCGTTTATCACTAAGACCTCACTGAATGAAAGAGTTTATTGTCCCACTGCAGACCTGTGAGTTCTGTATCACAGCATGAAACTTCGCTGGAGATTTGTTTGATGAACTGAATTCCCTCCTCCCAGCTCAAAAGCCGGCAGTATTCGTTTTAACCATCGATTTCCACAGGAGAGGAAACAGAGTAACAAGGACATCTAGAGTCTGTTGCCACTCCGTGTTCTGCAGGCCAGTTCTCTCCTTATGTCTCAGTTTCACATTTACGAAGCACAGAAACAGTTCTTTTACACATCTGAAACACAAGTCCTAAGGATGATGAGAAGAACCTTTATAATCAGTTTTATTCTCACATCCTCATCAACATCTTCAGCTTCTCCTCACACCTCTTTGCTTTATAGATAAAGCTGATGCCAATATAAGATATATCTATATCTACAGATATAAACACAAGCTGAAAGAGGGTAGGTTTAGGTTGGATATTAGGAAGAAAATCTTCCCTGTGAGGGTGCTGAAGCACTGTAACAGGTTGTCCAGAGATGCCCCTTTCCTGGAAGTGTTCAAGGCCAGATTGGATGTGGCTTGGAGCAACCGGGTCTAGTGGAAGGTGTCCCTGCCCATGGCAGGGGGTTGCAACTAGATGGTCTTTAAGGTCCCTTCCAACCAAAGCCGTTCTTGGATTCTATGATTCTGTGGTAAGAAACTCTACCAGCAGACACCTGCATCACAAAGATATTCTACTCCAATTGTCTCCTTAAATTTTTTACAGCCAGGATGTTGTCATCATGCCCAATCACATCTAAACTGTTGCTGAGCTGCAAACACTACTTGCAGCACTGAACCTAACTCTTTTGCTAATATCTTATACTTCTCACGCCTATGGGTTTATGTCCTTATCGAATCCTTGTATAAATTTCTTGGCATAAATATTTTACTATCTAAATAAAGCCCTTAAGTAGGATACTAGCTTCCAGGTCCTACCAGAATAAATGCTATCATTCAATACTATCTTCACTGCTTTGCCAAATCTCAGTGTTCACATTGACAGCAGGTTGCTGCTGAAACCAGGTAGGTTAAAATTCATGTATGCTCAGGTTCTGTTTCAGAACTTCATCTGTCAAAAACGTGTTATCACAGATCTCTGTCTGGCTACATTAATATGTCTGTTCACAAACTCGGGGCCTTCATAAGTTGGTGAAACACATTTTCCCACTTGAAACCACAACGCCTGTATACAGAGTTCAAAGCACTTTTGGATTGAGTCAATTCACGTGTAAATGTTCTATTTCAAAACTGACCTGTGCTTTTACTCATTGGACATCACTTAAATAAAAACATGGCAGAATAAATGAGCAAGGAAACAGAAGCATGTCAAGACTTTATCTTCAGAGAAATATCTGGTTTATATTCAGGTTCAGTGAAGATGTTATACCTCATTAGCTACGACAGAACTGAGCCATTTTCTCATTAGATCATCCAAGTGGAACAACACAAAAGATTTTTCAAGTTTGTCAGTTGCATTTTAGTTGTGCTTTTTAAAGTGCTTGTTCGAAAGCAAGAATTGAAACCGTATGGTGTTGCTTAAGCTTAAAAAGTGCTTTTGATCCTAAACTTCAAAAGAGATTTTCCCTGCATTAAGTAGGCTGGGACTTTATTCAGTACTGATTTAGGTAGACACCAGAACACTCTGTACATAATAATATTTTCTTGTTTCATGCTATTGATTAAATCTCTTTTAATGTTGTCACTGCTAAATTTGAGATAATTTACAGTTCTTTACTCACAAAAAGTTGATCATTACTCTTTATATTACTGCAAAACCAAACAGACATTTCTATCATGAAGATTGAGATATAAACTCCTTATTTTATTTTTTTTCTTGTCTTATGAAGTGTTTTCCAGTTGCAAACTCTCCAGAGGACTCCGGATTTCCTGAACTGACAGCAAACTTTACAAGACAAAACCCTCTCAGAAGAACACATGGGAAGCTGAATGAAAACAGTAAGCATTTATTGGGCTCTGATCTTATATTTGGCCATGAATTTGGAGACCCTCTACCGAATAAGTCACATGAAAGTGAACATAAACAAATGGGATTACAGATTCCTGAATACCTGACACAGTTACAATCCTACATGCTATGCTCCTTCATTACCCATCCCCATCCCTGGAAGTGTTCAAGGCCAGGTTGGATGGGGCTTGGAGCAACCTGGGCTAGTGGAAGGTGTCCCTGCCCATGGCAGGGAGTTGGAACTGGATGGTCTTTAAGGTCCCTTCAAACCCAGACCATTCTAGGATTCTATGATATTCCTGACACTTAACATGATTATACTCCTTCATGCTGCATATTACATGGTCACATAGAGCATTTTTAACAGGGACATCTTTATCTTTCCTGGATATCTTGCAAATCCGTAGCTTTCACGCAACCTCCTGAGGGCTGGCAAATGTTTTCCTGGAGGAATACATATCTTTGTCAGTTCTTCACCTTTGGATAGATCTTCAGATTCAGTATGAACCATCGACAAAAGAATTAGCCTTTCGGTGCTTCCAAAAGCTTTGGCTTTTTGTTGTTGTTGTTTGGTTTTTTTCTTAATTTATTAATCAATTTCAGGCCGTAAATTAAAGTTTTAACTGTGCTAGGAACTGAAAAGAAATGATGTAACATTGTTCTGGAGAGGAAAATTAAGAAGAAAAGAACAAGTGCAGTACTTGGTGACTGGCAGCTGGGGAGGCCGTGCAGGGATAATGTCCATGTGCACTTTGTGTTACAGATAAGCCTAAGAACACGGGAATTACAACAAATAATCTTTGAAGCATCCATGCAGAAAGAGCTCTTGGGCAAGCCAAAGGAGCAGCAACTAATCTTCTAAACCATTTGGTGCATCACAGTGCTGCTGCTGCTCAAACCAGCCAACTGCACCAGGGCCACACAGAAAATCCGGGCAGGTGAGGCTCCTTCCAGCCCAAAACACTCCGGTTTCTTTCCATTTTGGGGTTTTTTTGGTGGGTAGGGGCTACAGGCAAAGCACTTCTCTTCAAACATTACTTTTCTTTCTCTGCTTTCTTTATCTCAGTTTCCAGATCCGCCAAAGATGTGCTTAGTCTCTTTCTTCTGATAAAACTTGCAATGCATTAAAGAAAATATTCAGACGACAATTTAAAATTTTGAAATTAAAATGATGACTGTACTATGAAATGGAACCAGCTGTTTAACTGAAATAAGCTTGTATCTTCCAAATCCACACTTAATCCTGTTCTATCCCTAACTCAAGACTTTGCTTCATTTGTTTGTTTGCTTTCTCTTGCATGAAGTCTGGTTTTGCTTAGTAATTAAAAATATTAAATATGGAAGCAGAAATGCAAGGGTAAAGCTGTTACTGGCATTAAATATACCTAATAATTATGATATAAACAGGAATATCGTGCTATTACTGACTGTCAACAGCTGCAATGAGACAGTGTGTGATTGAATGTTACACCAACTTCTTAACACACCAAATACTTCTCCACAACAAGGAAGTGAACAAACCTGGAACTTGGACTTTTACATTTCCATCTTGATTATTAATATTTACTACCTAAAGAGATTCCCTCAAAATCAGCTGTGTAAGCCAGTGAGGTGATTCTTTCTGGAATCAGTCTGCATAGTTGCTTTTTGTGTAAGATTAATCTCAAAAAAGCGATTTTTCTCAGGCATATTTCATACATTATTCCATCTATACACCATGGTATAAGCTGTGAATTTTCCTTGCTAGAAAGATGTTTAAAAGCTGTAGGTCATGTTTGCCAACGAAAAAGTGCTAATTAAGGGCTTGTTCCCAAAGGTATTTCCCCACAACCATCTTCAGACAGCGTTTATTTACATAAGCACAGTGGTGATGGGAGCGGTTTCCAAAGGAACGCGTATTTCTGGTGACTGGTACCACCAAACCCCTAGAGAGGAAACACTTTAAATAAACCTCGTTTAAACAAAGCAGTGCTGTGCTGACTCAGATGTGGCAGATGAGAAAGCAGTGCTCAGAGGAAGCGACATTGCTCAGCGTGACCAATTTGTACAGAACTCGATTCCCCACAGCCTTGACCTCAGCTGGTCTCTTCACAGGGCTGGGTTCCATCTTTCCTTCACACTGTCCAGGATCCAGGTACTTCTCTCAAGTATTTAAAACGTGGGCTTTTCAGGCTTAAAGTTCTTTAGGACTTTTTCCCTGTGTTGTAAATTGATCTTCACACATTAAAAAAAACCCAAACATATGGATTTTGAAGTAAAGTAGATGAGCTGATGTAGTAACCATCCTCTATCAGTGGCAGCTTTGTTTGCATTTCCTCACATGGCACACGTGCTCTTTGATCTTCTCCCATATCTCTCAGCCTGCTGTAACATTACAACACTGTGCTCAGTGTCTGGGTGTTTCCAGTTTAACTGTGCTTTTTGTTAAATCCAGCATGCTAAAATTAGGAGAACACCACAAAGGCACCTAGAGAGTAAAAAAAAACACCAAAAAACCCCACCAGAAATGTTTGCCTTTGATTAAGCAACACTAGTCACATCAGGTAAAGTGATGTTTCAGGACAATTCAGACCTTTTTTAACTTTTCCCCTCATGGCATGTCTTCAGGCAGAGATAAACCTATTCAGGTGTCTTAACAGCCTAATTCTTACCTTGCTGTGGTTAAATTTATATGAAGTACTGTGTTCCCTACACTTCTTAACTGAAATTATATTTGTAGCATCTTTCAGCATTTTACAGTTGCTCCTGATGTTTACTTATTAATTTCTATTTTAATTTTGTTTTTTTTTAATAATGGTAAATCTCGCACACAACCCTAAAGTAAAAATTAAACAAGAATGTTGTTATGTAATACTTTTCATAATTTCTATTTACAGGATCTGTCTTTAAGCAGTACTTATTTTTTGTACTCCTGATACATCAAAGTAGGAAGACTACAGTAATCATTTAAGCTAAATTTATGGTTTCATTCCATCCCTAGAAAACATACAAACTCATGCATTTCTCTTTTATTCTTTGGTAGTCACAGAGTTATTTTGCATGGTAATGCAAGTTCAACTTTGACTGTGTATTCTCTGTAGGGAGGGAGATCCCAGTTTTCTGAGTCCAAAAATTTTCAGGTTGCTTCTGGTCTTTTGCCCACTCTCTTCCAGTTCCCAAAGTCAATTCAGTGTCCTTTGCTCCATTGATACTCAAAGTACCATGCAGCCATGAGGTTTCCTAGGACAGGAAGTATTCAATTAACAACTTTATGCTACCAAGCATAAAACACTTGGAAATATCACATGAAAATTAGCAGTGGAAGCCACAGCAGGAGTGGTTGATGGATGCATCCTAAGAAAGTCACCCTTTGGAGTTTACTGAATTTTTATCCTAGGTTTATGTGTGACCTAATTAACCATAACACATGTGTATTATTTGAATTAGTAACTTAAATTTACTGTAGACTAATTTATATAGGTGCATTCTATGTATAACATATAGATTTCCCTTGAAAGTTTGAAGTGTGTGTATTTTTCCTTTGCTATGATCAGAAGAAGAAGCAACCCACACGGGAAGGCAAAGATTATTGTACTTTAAAAAGTAACAAATGGATTTGCTTGAATTTTCTCATTCTATTAGAGAGATGATAATGAGCTGTTTAATGTACAAAGGTATGCACTGTTTAATGTACAAAAGAAGGAGTCTGGATCCTTGCTCAATACAGAAAACAACTTTGTTTTACCACTGGAGTCTTCCCTGCTTAAAAGAGAACATCACATGTCTGCCTTTCTGAATATTAAGACCTTCCAGGCTTTGATTTGTTCAGTTTTAAATATTTTAGTTGTGAAGTATATTTCAAAAGAAGGCAAATTCTAGCAAAAAGAGATGTTTTTTTAAAAGGATAATTTGGACTCAAATGGAAACACCTGTGTTTTAAAGTGTTGGGGTTTTATCCCTCAATGGTACCAAGCAGTAGGCTCCGAGTAAGTCATTCCACCCACCTGCTGCTTGTAGATGAGAGTGATCATGAGATAATATGTTATTATCTGACATGTTCTTCCAGGTCACCTTCTGGGACACATGTGCTCTAGTATCAGGTCAGTGCTGGTTTCATGTTAACACAACTGGAACAGGGTTAAAAGCTTTCTCTTTACCCAGAGAAATCAAAACGTTAGAGTGCAGTTAAAAGATGCAACGGGATGTTTATGGACCACTAATGGCACATTTCTCTGCTTGTTATTTGTGGAATGACCTGTTCCTATGGGGAATATGATGGTTGATTTTCAGTAGAATTAGAACTAGTAAGATACTGAGGCCTTGAAGGGCTATCAGAGCAACACCCGGGTATGTTTATAAGTGTGATCCTAGGGGAATTCAGTATTTCACAGAATCGTAGAATCACAGAATGGTTTGGGTTGGAAGGTTCCAACCCTGCTGCCATGGGCAGGGACACTTTCCACTGGATCAGGTTGCTCAGAGCCCCACCCAGCCTGGCCTTAAACACTTCCAGGGATGGGGCATCCACAGCTTCTCTGGGCAACCTGTGCCAGGGCCTCAGCACTCTCACAGTCATTAATTGCTTCCTAATATCTAATCCAACCCTGCCCTCCTTCAGCTTAAGGCCATTCCCCTTCATCTGTTTACTACATGCCCTTGTAAACAGCTCCTCTCCAAATTTCTTGTAGCCCTTTTAGGTACTGAAAATTTCATCTTCTTTGTAAACAATCTCTTCTTTATAAAACAAAAAAAGTTCTAAAAATACTTGTAGAGGGATGTACTGAAGTAGATGGTGAAACCTTGGCTTGTCTGCATTAGCAGCAGAGCTCCAAGTTAATTAAGCAAAGTCCTGATTTCATCCGTGAAGGGAACATTATAAAGTTATTGTCATGGGGGTACATGATAGGACTGAATGTCATGTTACTAATGTATTAAATACATATTATTATGATTATTGCTTCTCTAAATTCATGGATTTTTTAAAAACAAAGTCTCTGTGGTTTGACATGGAATTGTTTCCAGCATCTCCACCTAAATCAACCCTGAGAGCCAAAAGCACTGCAAAAATTAGAGAAATCCTGGAGGAAAAAAAAATCTTCCTGATGATTGCTCCACAGACTTAAGTGGTGTTACCAAAGGGAGAATTTGGGCATTTGTACTTTCATTTTAATACAGTGATTGTGAATGTATAATGAATAAGAAATATCAATTATGTAATGAAATTATTTAATTCAGTGAAGCAACCATTTATGCATACAGAGAATACCTGTGGGACTCGGAGATCCCTTTGGTTTGTTCTGTTTTCACTCACCCTGGTAGAAATCAGCAATAAAATCTCAGAATTTAGTTTACAGTAAGTCTAAATTAAAATTATTTCCTCTGATTCGCACTGTGAAAACTGGAAGGCAGAATTTGATCCCCCCAATTTTACTACATAGTGAGTTGGTCTATTTTCCAAGAGCTTCATGATCTTAATTTCTCATATTTACTGAACTGGGAAAACACCGTGTGAATTTTCATGCAAAGGTGAGGAAGAAAGAAAAACATTGCCACACACCAGCTCAAGGTTTTATGCTGGTACATTCACTGTGCAAGATTTTCTTTTGCTGTTCAGAAACAGTTTAATCACAAAAATTGCCACTTTGTTACACTAGATGATTCTTACCATATCTGTAGAGCCCTTCTCAGATATATGTGTGTGTGAACTGATGGAAGGAATGGCAATGAAACTGCATCTGAATGTAATGATGGACTTTATTATTCCACTATTTAAAAAAAATAAATTTAACTTTTCATATTATATTTTTTTAAAATATAGTGTTTGGGGTACAGTGTATAGGATTATATGTGGGGTTAACAAATATACTGGTATACAAAGCTATAAGCATGTATCTGCTGATTTCTAATAAAATTATAAGTAGTTTAAAAGCAAACATTGATAACTTACCTTGTTATAAAGTTCC